TAGAGACGGGGTTTCACCATGTTGACCAGGATGGTCTCCATCTCTTGACCTCGTGATCCACCCGCCTCGGCCTCCCAAAGTGCTGGGATTATAGGTGTGAGCCACCGCGCCTGGCCTTTCCCAGCTAATTTTTAAAAAAAATTTGGTCTTGTTACATTGCCCAGGCTGATCTCAAATTCCTGGGCTCAAGCAGTCCTCCCACCTTAGCCTTCCAACGTGCTGGGAGTACAGGCATGAGCCACTGCACCCTGCCAGGATTAACTTTGATTTCTTGGTTAAGGTGGTGCCTGCCAGGTGTCTGCTGTCAAGTTACTGCCTTTCCTTTTGTAATAAATAAAGAATCTGTCAGGCGATCGCTATGTTTGTTCCTACTTGTGAATTTCTAGGCAGAGACTCAGTCTTTTATTACTTTTTTATTCCCCAGCCTATGTCAGATTTTCTTTAAGCTGGTTATTAGTCGTTCTGATCCCAAGGCAATGTTCATGTTTCAACAAGTGAGGACTCATTTTTCCTTATTAATATTGATTTTTCAAGTGGTAACTTTATAAATAATAATGGTAAATCTTTACTGAGCAATTCCTACATGCTTCTTCTAAGCAGTTAGCATGTACGGACTTATTAAATTCCCACAATAACCCAATGATATAGATTCTATGATTCAACCCCTTTTACAGATAAAACTCTGGAGGTTTAGAGAGGGTAAGTATCTTGCTCAGGGTGATGTAGCTGATAAGAGGCGTGCTGGGATTTGAACCTAAGCAATCTGGCTTCACAATCCTGATCCCTAACCACAAGGCAGGGCTGCTTCCCCGCAGTTCCTTTAATACCACTCCTGTCTTCTAAACTGAATCCCTGGATGATCTCTCAGGTCAGACACCATGCCATGTGTGGTGGCGCATGCCTGTGATCCCAGCTACTTGAGAGGCTGAGGTTGCAGGATTGTTTGAGCTCTGGAGGTTGAGGTGGTAGTGAGCTATGATTGTGCCACTGCACTCCAGCCTGAGGGACAGAGTGAGACCCTGTCCCTACTTATTTTATTTCATTTATTTTGAGTTGGAGTTTCACTCTGTTGCCCAGGCTGGAGTATAGTGGTACTATCCCAGCTCATTGCAACCTTCGCCTCCCAGGTTCAAGCAATCTTCCTGCCTCAGCCTGCCGAGTAGCTGGGATTACAGGTGTGTGCCACTGTGCCCAGCTGATTCTTGCATTTTTTAGTAGAGATGGGGTTTCACTATGTTAGCCAGCCTTGTCTCAAATTCCTGACCTCAAGTGATTCGTCCACCTCAGCCCCCAAAAGTGCTGGGATTATAGGCATGAGACACCACACCTGGAGTCTGTCCCTATTTAAAACAAACAAACAAACAAACCAGACACAAGCCTGGGCTGCTGGTGAGTCAGTGCATCCCCTACTCCCAGAGGAAGAATGTGCAGCATCCCCATGTGGCAGAGGTTGGAAGCTCTGCAGAAAAGCCCCATCTGTGCTAAGCATCATCACCTGGGTTCAGTTTCCACCGTAGCCTGGGGGCTTCCAGCTAGACAAAGGGGATGTTGCAGATTGGTCTTTTCAAAACTTTTAGGACCAAGTGTTCCCACCAGGTGTGGGGCATGAGACCGCTTCTCTGCATGTGTTCTCATGCTGCAGTTGCGTTGTTGCAGGTTTCTTTTTCGTTTTAGGTTCCTGCAGGCTTCAGCGTGGCTGCCAGTGTCCGGGTGGGAACTGCTCTGGGGGCTGGAAACATGGAGCAGGCACGGAAGTCCTCCACGGTTTCCCTGCTCATCACAGGTACGGAGACCCCTTCACCTGAGGCTCCCGGTGCAGTCTCTGCATGCAAACCCCAGGCTCCCCCACTTCCTGTGGATCTCTCTCTGACCGTGTTGTTTCTTCTGCCGTTTTCACCTTCAGTGCTCTTTGCTGTAGGCTTCAGTGTCCTGCTGTTAAGCTGTAAGGATCACGTGGGGTACATTTTCACTACCGACCGGTGAGTGCTGGGGTTTTCTTGAAAAATGAAATCTGTGATAAAGAAATGGTTCTGGTGGGGCACAGTGGCTCTCGCCTGTAATCCTGGCACTTTGGGAGGCCCAGAAGGGCAGAACACCTGAGGTCAGGAGTTCAAGACCAGCCTGGCCAACATGGCAAAACCCTATGTCTACTAAAAATGCAGAACTTAGCCAAGTGTGGTGGTGGGTGCCTGTAATCCCAGCTACTCAGGAGGCTGAGACTGGAGAATCGCTTGAACCTGGGAGATGGAGGGTGCAGTGAGCTGAGATCATGCCACTGCACTCCAGCCTGGATGATGAGAGTGAGACTCTGTCTCAAAAAAAGAAAAAAAAAAAAAATGGTTAAGTTGGATAGATGCTATCACAGGGGGGCTGCCTGTGGTTGTTGCAAAAGATCAGCGGCTCCACTGATGTTACTTGGGAAAAACATATTCGGTGTAGGAACTGGTTTCCATAGTCTACCATGCCAACTAATGGGCACTGGTGATGATTTTATGCTTCTGGTGGTCATGTTTTAAAGGTGGAAACTCCTTTTCAGTACAGTTAATTACATTTTCAGTTAATTATTTTGTTTCCAATGATAAGAATCCTCTTCGTTTCTTAGTATCTGCCAGACTGCCTGGTGTGTAGTAGTTGCGTAATATGGCAAACTGAATTGAAGTTAAAATCTCACCAGTGAGCTGTCTCAAAAGTCACATTCTCAGATTGATGACTGAGGAATTCTTGGATAAGTCCCCTGTGCTCTGCAGAATTTTTTCCTTCATCAGTGATGCTAGTGTTTACATTCTGACTATATAGAAACTTTGTGGGGATACTTCTTATTTGGGACACCTTTATCAGCAGTTACAAAATGCAAATTGACTTTGCCTTCATGGATTCAGGAAGCTGGCAGAGTGGACAGAACTAACTTCATGGCTTATCCTTCACACATTTGTCTTTTGACTTCAGATGGTAGGTATTCATTTTTCAGCTTCAGCTGTTTTGTTATGGGAGAATAGATGTTTAGGCCAGGAGCGGTGGCTCACGCCTATAATGCCAGCATTTTGGGAGGCTGAGGCGGCTGGATCACTTGAGTTCAGGAGTTCAAGACCAGCTGGTCAACATGGGGAAACCCTGTCTCTACTAAAAATACAAAAAATTTAGCCAGGCATGGTGAGACACATCTGCAATGCCAGCTACTCAGGAGGCTGAGGGAGGAGAATCACTTGAACCTGGGAGACGGAGGGTGCAGTGAGCTGAGATCATGCCACTGCACTCCAGCCTGGGCAACAGAGTGAGATTCCATCTCAAAAAAAAAAAAAAAAAAAAGATGTTTGTAGATCCCTCACTCAGCATGAGTGGGGAAGGTGACGGTAAATACTTGGCCTTTCTCCCAAAGGGAATCGGGATGAACTTTATGAGGACCAGGATAGACAGATGGTTTCAGTAGGAATTTGGTAGAAGTTGGACACTGAATCTGTCCACAGCAGGTAAAGAATGAAAAACAAGAGGCCCACAAACCATAGAGCTGATGAGACAGGGAAACATTGGAAACTCAAGAATCAAATTACTTGTAAGGTGGCCGAGATCAACCCAACCTGGTAGAATCGGTGAAACAGAGGTGACTCTACCTAACTTAGTCACAGGGCCGGGAAAAGGCCCCTCTAACAAAGGAAGGGGGATGGTACTACTAAACACAATCATTTAAAAAATTCCTAAAAGACACTTTGCACAACTTTTTTCAAGGAAATCTAGAAACCTGGAATAAACAGATCATTTTCTAGGGAAATAATTGATCAGTATGTACCCTAGAAAAGACAGAAGGTCTAAGTAAACTGATTTCCTGGTGAGAAATAAGAGAAAGCGATTTTAAAATGCCAAAAACATAACCCCAGAAGGTTCCAAAGGATAATTTTATAAAATCTTCAAAACATAGGGAATTGCGAACATACATAAATCATAGAAAATTTCAGAGCACAGAAAAACGAAAATTTGTATTCTATTTGTGAAGCAAATACAACATTGGTACCAAAATCTGACAAAGTTTGCACCTAAAAAAGAAAGAAAATCACAGATCACTCTTATGTATTAATATCAATTTAAAAATCCAAAGTAAAATATTATTAGAATTCAGCAGCACATTGAAAAGAATATACTTTGGTGAAATGTAAAAGTGAATATAGGCCAGGCGCGGTGGCTCAGTCTCCCAACACTTTGGAGACTGAGGCAAAAGGATCACTTGTGCCCAGGAGTTTGAGACCAGCCTGGGCAACATGGCGAAACCCCATCTCTACAAAAAATAAAATTTTGCTGGGCATGGTGGCGCGCACCTGTAGTCCTAGCTACTCGAGAGGCTGAGGTGGGAGGATCACTTGAGCTCGAGACATTGAGGCTGCCGTGAGCCATGATTTCACCACTCCACTCCAGCCTGGGCGACAGTGAGACTCTGTCTCAAAAAAACAAAGTGAATATAATATCTCAGGTGGAAAAAGCGAAGTACAGAACATCATACAGAGAATGCTGCGTGTGAAATGATAGAATATAAAAAGGAAAATTAAGAATATACATTTGTATTTGCTTATATTTTCATAGATTCTAGACAAACATGAAAAGTGCTAAGAATTGTCACCTGGAGGAGCAGGACTGGTAGTAGGCAGCCTGGAAGGGCATCGCAGTGAGACTTTCCTCACTATCTTGTTCATATTGTTCCGTTTTTTGACCATGTGCATGTTACCTATTCAAAAAATAGAATTTTAATAAAATAACTATATTTCTCTTCTTTTTGATGAGGAGGAAGTGATCATGTTGTTCAGTGCTGGATTGCTTTTTTTTTTTTTTTGAGATGGAGTTTTGCTCTTGTTGCCCAGGCTAGAGTGCAGTGGTGCGATCTTGGCTCACCACAACCCCCACCTCCCGGGTTCACGCGATCCTCCTGCCTCAGTCTCCTGAGTAGCTGGGATGATAGGCATGTGCCACCATGCCTGGCTGATTTTGTATTTTTAGTAGGGACGGGGTTTCTCCATGTTGGTCAGGCTGGTCTTGAACTTCCAAACTCTGGTGATCTGCCCACCTCAGCCTCCCAAAGTGCTGGGATTACAGGCGGGAGCCACCGCGCCTGGCTCAGTGCTGGATTTCTTATTTATTAATTAAACAAATATTTATTGCCAGGCAGTGTTCTAGGTTCTAGTTCAGAGTGACCAAATTCACTTGAAGGGTGTTGTAAATTTCTTGCTTCCCCAGGTGAGGGGCAGCATTTTTCTGTCTCCCTTCAGGTGTAGGCATTAGAATCCAAGTCTCTAGCTTTAGGAGTTGTATTTCTAGGAACCAAGGATATTTCTGCAGAATATATCTATGGCTCTTACCAACCTTGGTTCTGTAGGGGGAACTTAATTCTTACTCTGTAGTGCTTCACTCAGGCTCACTGAGAGGCACAGTCAGGCTTGGCCTGTGGCATCATCTTAAAAGAAGGATATGCATAGCATCCAAACTTGCCGGGATGATAAGAGTATGCCATTGTGCCCAGCCACACTTTTTTTTGTTGTTGCTGGTGGGGCACGGGGGAGGGGGGTCACCAAATCACTTAATTTGTCTACGCTGACTAAGTGGTCTATGCAGCAGCCCCTTCTTATCCTTGGTTTTGCTTTCTAGGGTTTAGTCACCTGCAGTCAATTGTGGTCTGAAAATCTTAAGTGGAAAATTCTAGAAATAAACAATTCACAAGTTTTCAATTGCATGCTGTTATGAGTGTTAGGAGGAAATCTCACACCCCACCCGGGACGTGAAATCACCCCTCTGTCCAGCGTCTCCATGCTGCGTGTGCTTCCACCCGATGGTTATTTCAGGTTGTCTGCACTGGGCTCACAGTGCGGGTAAGAGCCCCAAAGCACAAGAGCAGCGATGCTGGCGTGTGGTTATGAGCCACTTTGTTCCTACTGCTGTTACTTTCTTACTGTGCAGAACTTATAAACTAACCTTATCGTAGGTATGAGTGTATAGGAAAAGCACGGTGTATTTAGGGTTCAGTCCTCTCTGCTATTTCAGGTATCCACCGGGGGTCTTGAAACATATCTCCTGAAGTCAAGAGTGTGGTGCTTTGTATTTTTCCTAAAAGTCATGAGATACAACATGCAGTTAGTTTCCTCTATGGGCCCAGCAACAGGAGAACTGTCCCTGACTAGGCTGCTGGTGGCAATGCATGCACATGTGTGTTACATGCAGAAAGCTATATGCTTTTTTAAATATATATATTAAATATATATTATATATTATATAGTTTATATTATATATTATATTAATAAATATATATTTTAAATATATACTTTTAAGATATATATTTTTATATTTATAAATATATATTTATAAATATATATTTATAATATATATATAAATATATTTATTAATATATATAATAATTATATATATTATAAATATATATATATTTATAATGTATATATATTTTAAAAGTATACAGTCTTACTCTATCACCCAGGCTGGAGTGCAGTGGTGCGATCTCTGCTCACTGCAACCTCTGCCTCCCAGGTTCAAGCAGTTCTCCTGCTGCAACCTCCTGAGTAGCTGGGATTACAGGTGCTCGCCACCAGGCCCGGTTCCCTTTATATTTTAGTAGAGATGGAGTTTTGCTGTATTGGCCAGGCTGGTCTCAGACTCCTGACCTCAGGTGATCTGCCTGCCTCGGCTTCCCAGAGTGCTGAGATTATAGGCATGAGCCACTGCACCTGCCAGAAAGCTGTATACTTCTTTCTCCACTTTGGCTCCTAATCAACATGTGCTTTATTTTCCTAACAGAGACATCATTAATCTGGTGGCTCAGGTGGTTCCAATTTATGCTGTCTCCCACCTCTTTGAAGCACTTGCTGTAAGTATTATGTAGTAGTCCCCTAAGCACCGTTTTGATCTATGAATTTCTTCTGATGGTGGTAAATTTCAGCTGCCAGGAGGGGCCAGGGTAGGTAGGAAGATTGAATATTATTATCATATTCGTTTAGAAGGATGCTGTCACCTTATCATGGATTTTAGAGTCAGAGTCCTACAGAATATGAAGTGCTCAGGAGATGGGCGTGTTTCAGGAGAACTGGCTTCGTTGGCACTGATGGGATGCTCTCTGCCTGCAGTGCACGAGCGGTGGCGTTCTGAGGGGGAGTGGAAATCAGAAGGTGGGAGCCGTCGTGAATGCCGTTGGGTACTATGTGGTGGGCCTCCCCGTTGGGATCGCGCTGATGTTTGCAACCAAACTTGGAGTGATGGGTAAGCTCTAACCTGTGCAGGCAGGGCTTAGCTGCTCACCAGCCCAGGAAATGACCGTCAGAGCACACAGGCCTTTTACTGAGGCCCACCTCTGAAATTTGGGAGCTCGCTCACGTCCATTCTGTGTTTTGTCAGAGAGCTTAGAAGATGTTCAGGAGGTGGCCTCCAGCTCTAGCCAGGGCCCCAAGGCTCCGTGGTCCTCCCCTCCCACCCCTGCAGGCAGTCTTCCACTCAGACAAACTTGAGCTCAGATGCCCTTTCTATTCACCTCCTGTTCTGAGTCATCCAGCCCTCACTTCTCCAAAGGAGGTGACAGCAGGGACCGCTGAAGAAGCATTCGGAAGCGTCCCTTTTGCATGTTCCATGCTGTTCTTTAGACAGCGTGTGAGCCCCTGAGGGTGAGTCTGCAGGGTAGAGGCTGTCATAGGTGGTCTGTCCTGCATGCGTGGGGTGCCACAGGGTCACCACTCACAGTGGCACTGTACATCCTAAAGCAGCGCCCTGTGTATTCACCAGGCAGCGTGGCTGGATCCTTGGAGGGCATCGGGTGGCCAGTGCCCTCCTCATCACCCCATCACACTCCGCAGTCTCCACCTCCCTCCCTGTACGGCCTCAGCTGTGTGTCTGTGGGTCTCCCCACAAGGGCATGCACGTGGTCAACGTGAACAGCACAGAAGGAAGGCGGTGGACCCGAGCACCTTCCCACATTTGGAAGAAAAAGCTTAATCCACAGCATCTGAAATTACCAGAGCTAATTATTTCTAAAAGTGTGGAAATAAATGACTGCCCAGCTTTGATTTCTAAAATAATAATTCCGAATATATTGGCAGTTAATAAATGATGATATGAAAAGTTGGACATTATCTTTGGGGTGAGCAGTGACTGATGTAAAGTGTGCCTTGTTTTGATCCATCTGTACTTGGCAGGTTCTGAGGTAGTGAGAAGTCAACTGATACCTCTGGGGAACTTACAGTTCAGTGTGTTCCTTTAGGTGGTACATCTTTCTCAAGTTCAATAATATTTTAATTAAAAATACAGGAGTTGTTCAAAGAATAGAATTGCCAGTGCAGAGTTCAATGGGCTTGCATGATAGTGCAGAAAATTATTTAGCTGAGTTTCTGGTATGATTCATACTCTGGATTTGCCAATTGGATAGCTAATGCAAATATTATAAGAATCTATTTTTATTTTTAAAGCAATGTATTTCATGTAACACAATATAGACAAAATATTATCATTGTAACATGCAATCAGTATAAAATATTAAGGAAATACTTTAAATTCTTTTTTATGTCTTTTACATTTTAAATTGACAAATCGTATGCATTTATGGGGTACAGTGTGGTGTTTTGATATATGTATAAATGTGGAATGATTAGATCAAGCTAATTAATGTACTTATCACCTCACTTATTTTTTATGGTAAGGCATTTGAAATTAGTTGATTCAAAACGTACATTGATTATGGTCACCCTGCTGTGCAATTGACCTCAAAACTTATTCTTCCTGTTTATCAGAAACTTTGTGTCTTAACAACTTCCTGTTCCCACATCCTCCCCTCCCTGCCACCAGTCTCTGGTAACCATCATGCTATTCTCTATGTCTATGACTTCAATTTTTTTAGAAGAGGAATCTACTTTATTCTCTTGTTCATTTTTACAGATGGGGTCTTGCTATGTTGCCCAGGCAGGTCTCAAATTCCTTGCCTCAAGTGATCCTCCCACTTTGGCCTCCCAAGTATCCGGGATTACAGGCATGAGGAATCTGCTTTTAAATATAAATCTATCCATATCCCAAGTGCTGTCCTTGGCTCACCCATTCATTTAACAAAATATACTGAGGGATGAGCCTCAGTATATTTTGTTAAGTGAATATATTTGGGATTACAGGCAGAGCACAATGGCTCATGCCTGTAATCCCAGCACTTTGGAAGGCTGAATTGGCAGATTACTTGAGGTCAGGAGTTTGAGACCAACCTGGCCAACATGGCAAAACCCCATCTCTACTAAAAATACAAATATGAGCCAGATGTGGTGGTGTGCACCTGTAGTCCCAGCTACTCGGGAGGCTGAGATATGAGAATCGCTTGAATGCTGGAGGCAGAGGTTGCAGTGAGCCAAGATGGCACCACTGTACTTTAGCCTGGGTGACAGAGTGAGACTCTATCTCAAAAATAAAAAAACTAAATGTGCAAAGTCGAAGTTGAGAATCACTGAAAAGAAATGATGGGGGCCCTGGGGATGTGAGGGCTCTATGAGAAGACTGTAGTCAATCCTTCCACCCACGTGTTAGAAGAAAGTATGGTACGAACTGGATTTTAATCTTGTGTTTCCTGTAGTATGGTATGCAGTATACCTATACAGGGTGTAGGAGAGCATCAGAATTCTGCAGGTTCTCAGAAGCAACCCCAGAAAATCATAATGACCCTCAGAATCCCTGGGAGACTTTTAAAATATGTAAATTCCTGGGTCTTGCTCATGGGATTCTAATATTCATCCTACTTTGGGTTCCTAGGTTGGGTCAAATAGAAATCTTTAAATGATCTATGCTAAACTACCAGAAATCTAATTCATAACTTCCAAATTATAGCTGGAGTTTGCTAGTTATTTTCTGTTTAAGATGGTTTGGGTGAGCTTGTAGTTTCTATGCACTGAGAACACTGGATTTGAAAGAGGAAGCCAGTAGCTTCCTTTTGCTAATTTTTTATATGACTAGCAGGTGACACCAACTATACTATTCTAAGAGCAGGCTAGGCTGGGCGCACTCATACCTATAATCCTAGTGCTTTGGGAGGCCAAGGCGGGAGGATCACTTGAGTCTAGGAGTTTGAGGCTGCAGCGAGCTGTAGTCACGCCACTGCTCTCCAGCCTGGGCAACAGAGCAAGACCCTGCCTCTAAAAAGCAGACAAACAAAAGGGCAAGCTAGTCATACCTGAAAAAATGTGACTGGTACCAAGAAACAGAGCTGTCAACCTTGTACCTAATCTGTAAACCGGGAACCCAGACTAGCCACCTTAAACCTTACATGGATCTGGACAGCTGTGGAAATAAAGCAGGACCAACCAAGCAAGACAAGCAAAGGCATATTCTCAGTAAGGGTGTTGGCTGCCACCACTTGTATTTGGGCAGAGACTCAAAGGCAGGCAAAGGAGTGGGAAAGCATCCCAGTGGATAAAAGGGGAGGCTGCAGGTGTGCCCTGAGACTTGATCTGGGGATGCTGGAGGGGGCTGACTAGGAATAGGCCTCCGTGTGATTGGTTAGGGGGATGTATCTTACTTTCTCTGGTTGGTTCTAAGTTGGAAATGCGGACCAAAGTTAGAGAAGCTGTCAGTTGCTAATCAAGTCCTGACCATTTGGGGCCAATTGTTACAGAATTTACTGGTTAGCTTCCTGGATTGTCACCAGAGGCAGCCATGTTGCTTCCTGCAAGTCTGATTTAGGGCAGGCTGGCTTCCTGGGTTTATTGTAGAGAGGGGTGGTTTCTTGGGCTGTCTGTTGTGGGGCAGAACCCAAAATAGGTCTGTTTTTATTATGGTCAGGCCCTTGTCTCTTGGTTATTGTTGGCGCTTTTGGTTCTGCCATGAGTTTACTGTTGACCAAAAACCCTCCTCACCTGGCGTCTCCCACTGTGTCCTGTGTGGTGCTTTGAGATCCATGGGGCTTTTCCCACCACCTGTGCCCACCAGGCCTGCCTTTGCTGTTCTCTAGTCATCTCTGGGTGCACAGCCCTCCTCTGGGAGCTTCCAGCAAAGTCTGTCAGGAGCAAGTTAAGGTCCAAGGTCTGGCAGGAACTCTGAGGCAGGGAACATTATTAATTTATATAGCTAGTGATTTCTGCTTTTTTTTTTTTTTTAATGTTAGTCCCCTTTTTTGAGGAAAATAGGGCAGAAGTAGTTGGTCCTGGGAAATTTTAATTTTCTTATAACTGACATTTTTCTTAATACTCAAGCATTATAGTCAGTAAGGCCAAAAAAATCCTCTGAATATTTGTTCTGAAATCCTGAACCACAAGAGATGGCCCTTTTGGAGGAGGCCTCAGGAAGTACTGTGATTTCTAGAACCTTCCGGAACCTTCTGGAAGCCCAAGAAGGAGCAGGGTAGAGGTCTCTGGCCCACTGTGGGCTCTACGTCGGCCATGAAAGCAGATGTTCAGTATGGCTGACAGAAGTGAGATAGGCAAAACATACTCCCCAGGGGCAGCTGGTTTTCTGTGGAATTAACCTCTATTAAATATTTCTATTTCTAGGTCTGTGGTCAGGGATCATCATCTGTACAGTCTTTCAAGCTGTGTGTTTTCTAGGCTTTATTATTCAGCTAAATTGGGAAAAAGCCTGTCAGCAGGTAACTATGTTCATTCTGTCCTGGTTCCTTTCCTAGAAAAATACGCTCTGATCCGGCTCTCCCTTTTTCATTTTGGAAAGTTCTTTTCTCATTTTCTTTATTTTTATATCATGAATACTATTTTTCTTGTTGTTTTCACTAGACAATTCAGATGTGAAGGGCCAGATAACCCCAGCTTTATCCACTCCCAGAAAAACAGGAGGTTCCTTTCTTCCTTGTCTCCCATGCCAGGCTGTTCCCCTTGTGCAGGAAAATCCAATGTCAGGACAAGAATTAGAACTGAAGAGAAAGGTGGGATGCATCAAAGTCATCCTGATGTTGTTTTCATGATCCTCAGATGTTTTGCGAAGATACTTGGTGCATCCTTCCCTTCAGCTTTCTAGGGTCAATGTGAGGTCTAGAAAGAGGTGATAGAAAAATGAGATGAGTCGAGGTACGAGTGGCTTATGCCTGTAGTACCAGTACTCAGGAGGCTGAGGCAGGAAGATTGCTTAAGCCCAGGAGTTCGAGGCTGCAGTGAGCTGTGATTGCACCGCTCACTACACTCCAGCCTGGGTGATGGAGTGAGACCCTGTCTCTACAAATAAAAAAATTTTTAAAAGAAAAAAGAGAGCCGGGCATGGTGGTTTACACCTGTAATCCCAGCACTCCGGGAGGCTGAGGCAGGTGGATCACGAGGTCAAGAGATCAAGACCAGCCTGGCCAACATCATGAAACCCCATCTCTACTAAAAATACAAAAATGAGCCAAGTGTGGTGGCGGGCATCTGAAGTCCCAGCTACTTGGGAGGCTGAGGCAGGAGAATCGCTTGAACCCAAGAAGCGGACGTTGCAGTAAGCCGAGATCCATTGCACTCTAGCCTGTCTGGTAACAGAGCGAGACTCTGTAAAAAAAACAAAAAACAAAAACACACCACAGAACTTCT